AAAAATAAAATTAAGAAGAAAAATAAAAACTAAATGATTCTTTAGGACCTGGTAGCTATGATATTAAAGATTTTCTTTATTAATCTGAATATATTAAAAAAGGTAACACTAATACAAGCTTTGGAAAATCCAGAAGATTTTAAGTTGAAAAACATTCAGAATTAGGACCTGGAAGTTATGAAGTAGTTGAGGATTAATAGTGAATCAAAATTATTTAAAAAGTTTTCAAAAAATAATATTATTGTATATTTGAAAACACAATATCTTTTCTAATATTTATTTCTTGAATCTATTAAAATAATTGACAATATATATGAGTCTTTTGAAAAAGATTTTTAAAATTGAATTATTATATTAATTTTTTTATTTGAAATATATTAATCATTATAATTAAGGAGGATGATTTTGAATAATTGAAAAAATACTAAAGAGAGTTTTTAAGAGTGCCTTATATAATAATAGTAATTTTTTAATGAATAGATTTACAACTAGTATTCTTTTTCATTTATTAAATAACTTATTAAAAAAATCTACTTATAAGACATATAGATTTACAAATATAAGATTAGGTTTAATGAAAAAATGAAAGTATTATAATGATTAGGATTATATTATAATAATTAATTATCATTATATAGAATTATAAGGGGAATAGATTTACAAAAATGAATGTAAAATTAAAATAATAAAAAAGGATTAATAAAAATTGTATATGATTCTTGATGATTTTATTTAATATTTATATTATATAATTGTATATAGATATCAAATCTTATTAATAGAGAAATCTATCTATCTTAGAATTAAGATTATTATTATTGATTCGTAACTCTAATTTTGTAAATAATCGTTCTTAATTAATTAGATATTATTTTTTAATAAATATTAAAGTTTTTAATATGTTGTAATTGAGATTGAGATATCTAATTTAACTTGAAAAAGTCTTAAATAAGTTGATTTATAGTATAATGTATAAATATATTTTCAAAATAATGTACATGCGATGAATATATTTCAATATATCATCTCTTTAAATTTGGCATTCAAATTTTTAGATTTCTTGGGTGATTTGTTTGTATGTTATGAATGGTTTAAAGATTAAGATTGAGGATCATGAGTAATTTAGACTTTAGATGTAAGCTGGAACTTACCATAATAATAAATTTTACATTTTCTTACAAATTTTAGGTCTGTTAAATAGGATTTAGAGATGGTTATCTTTCTAAATCTAAGAATAAATCATCCATTCTATCTTAATCCCCAACAATGTTAGAAACGAGAGGAGTAAATTAAACTGATTAAATATTGGGCTATGATGTTGTTTCAATTTAATCATCATCTTTATTTTGATACATGCTTTGTGATTTAACTTAACAACTTCCCATATTGAATTACTTTAAAAAATTTATTATTGGACATTAAACATATTGTAATCCATATAAATCTTTGTCAATTAAATACAGATTTTAGCTTCAATAAAAAATTAGAAAAACATTTAGAATCATTAAATTACAGATTAAATTAAATCTTTTAATAATATATTACTTTACTCAATATAATCAATATTATGTATTTTAACAATTGTGATATTAATATTGGTAATCTTATAACAATAATATCAAAATTTTGCTTTTCTTATATAAAAATATTTCGATTCTTCATCCCATATCACCAAATATTCACCATTTGGTGATAATGAACCATAATTACAATAATGACCGACTTCAATTACTTAAGAAATTAAAAATTAATCATTTATTAATTTTTTCAAAACATATACATATCTTCCATGTTTATTTATAACAATTTATTTATTTTCATTATAAATAGATGGAAAGAAGTTTTAATATCCATTACTTTATTTTAGTAATTAAATATTTTAATTACTCTATTCAAATTAATCTAAGTTGCTGTTCAATTAATATATTATTGATTAATTAATATTTCTTGGTTACCATATCATATAATTGTTTTCAATAAAACATATTCTATATCCATAGTCATCATTCTAAATTTTTTATTTCAATTTCCATTCTTTGAATTCATCTATTTCCCAAACAATAATTGTCTTATCTTCACCACATGATACAAATAATTCTTAAGATTTGCTAAAACTAATACATCTAACATAGGCTTAATGATTATTTAGCACTTATACCTATATCCATTTTTATTATTCATTTTTTCTCCATACTCTTATTGATTTATCACAACTACAAGATAATATTTAATTGCCTTTATTATCAAATAATAAACAATCAATTTATCTCTTATGTCCTAATAATATCTATTTACAAGTCCATTAATTTTGAACAATTTACCAATATCTAATAGATTTATCTGTACTTCCAGATATAAATTCTGTTTTACTCAAACTAAAAAATAAAGATATAACTAAATTCGTATGTCCTACTAATTATTATTTTTTATCAATTTTTCCATTATTGAATTCCCAAACAGTTATGTCATTTTAACAACTACTAATCATTATGTTATTATCATGATTAAATGATATGGCATGACAATATTATTCTTATGGAAACTTTTCTATTAATTCATAATTATTTTCATATTAAAGTTCCATTAGATTCTCTTCTATTATTTATGAATCTTTTTATTAAATTGTTGATTTTATCTAAGCAGAGGCACTTCTCTACTAACGATTTTCATTAATGGTTTATAAAGTCTAAATATTAAATTCTTTGTATATTTCTCTGCTATTTTTATAATCTTGAGATTCGTGTGTTTAATATTATTCAAATTAATTACTATTTGAATTATCTCGATTTTCAATTATAATTTAATTTATATTATGTATCTATTAATCTGATTAGTTTGTTGTTTAACTTATTTCTTCAGAATTACATAATGTAGATCTTAGATTATCATACAAGTTTTATTAGTACAATTATAATTATTATAATTATTACTTTAATTTAAATAGAATATTATCTTACATCTCTTGATATTCTTAAAAAATAATACTTTATTAATTTTCATATGATTTACTTATAATATCAATTCTATCATATATTTCATTATAATTCTGATTTTAAAGATCATAATTATAAAAATAGGGACTTTTAAAAAATTTTTATTTCATCATCAATATATTTTCTTCAAAATTAATCCTTAGATTCTTAACCTATTCTATAATTTAATTTTCAATTTTGATAATCTACTCCTAAACTTATTCATATTATTATTCTTTATCAATTATTTATTATTAGAAATAATTACACCTTCTAACCTCAAACTATTTCCATTTCTCTTAAGCTTTGGTTAATGAAATATATTAGGATGGCATACATTCAATGCAACATAACCGTTTATATTTATCTGTATCATTGTTCAAATCAAATAAAATTATTTCTTTACCATGTATTTGACAATTAAAATCCAATTTAGGTGTTCTCTCATTTACTTAATTATAAGAAATTTATTAAAGTAATTTATTTATTTAATTTTGAGACTTTATATTTTAATCTTTTATTTAATATTATTTTTTGAGATCTTTCGATATCAATAAGCAGTCCTATATTTCTTAAATTTTGCTTAATCTCTCTAATTCCTTAGAAAACAATTTTATCCAACTAAATTCATCTTACTTTTATTATTATTAACAGTAACCGAGTTCATCACTAAATATCAATTGAATATAATCATCTAAAGTCTTTTCACTCTCTTCTTAATTATTCTGCTACCTTAGTGATTTTTAATTTTCCTTGTATAATTAGTTTTCAATCAATTGAATTCCTTTTTCTAATTAAACATTCATATCATTTTTCAACTAGTTCAAAGTATCAAGTATTTTACTAAGATATGCTTTTATTAGTTAATGCTTTTCAGCCTACAATTATTTAATAAAAGCAAGTTTAGTTTCATACAACTTTTAGATTTCCTTTATTGGTAAAACAGGATATTAAGCATTTCCTGTTAAGCAATACACACACATAAGAATATCATTTAGTTACTTATTGGTAGACAATTTAATCGCAATTATTTCACTATTGTGAATTCGACATATATTCTAAAAAATATTAGACAACATTAACACTAATAATTTATGAAAATTAATTATCAAATTAATAAAAATATTATTAATGATTTTTCTATAGTAAAGTACTCTTACATGCTTTAACTAAATTAAAATATAAGATCTTACAAATCATAAAATCTTACATAAAATATAATTCTTAATATTTACATTAAATATATTAAAAATAAATACTCATTCAAATTAAGAAAAGACATGTTTATTTAAATATATAAATTATTTTAGGTATTCATTTATTTTGTAATCATTAATCAATATTAATTTTTTGATAAATATAATCCAATATTTTAATGAACAGATTTAATCAATAAAATACCTTTATTCTTAAATGGTTTCCTCATACAAATTTTTATTCAAATCTATTATTATAAGAAATATAAGTAATAAATTTCTTATAATAATCGTAAGTATATATAATAAATTTAGAAAGTGGCGCTATGACTACATCATCATTATTATATAATTCATTCTATCAAAAAGCAAATTTGCTATCGAATTTTCATCAATAGCCTTATTAGCCAAATTATTGATAATGAATATAAATAGAGATCTGTATTATCTTAATTTTCATAAGTTTAGAATTACTTAGTAAATATATCTTTACATTTTTTTTTAATATAAAGTATTCTAAATTAAATTCAAAGTTTTTTATGCCAAATATATTAATTAATTTTATCTTCAATTTGTTAAATATTTTCATTTTTATTATATTTCTAAATAAAATCTTATTATCTATTTTTGATGTATTTATTATTAATTTTACTCAAGTTATCTTTTTCCTATCATTCTGTCTCTTTTAGATAATTAAACATTAATAAGTGATATATATAATTTATCTAATTTATCAAAGATTATATTACTAAAATAAAATAATATAAAAATCTGTGTAGATCAAAAATATTTTTTTGAATGAAATATTAACTTAGTTATAAATTATTTATTTTCATTATCTTCTAGATAAACACCCAAAGGCAAATTTTAGTCTATCAAAAAAATCCATTTCTTATAATGGTCTCTAAGGAATAGTTCTATTTTATCTTTCACTTATCCTACTCTTTCTTGGTTTGTATCTAAATTATTATATATTTAAAATACTGTTCTTATGTTTAATTTTAATAATTAACAGAATATGGATCATAGTCATATTTTTTAAATTGTTTAAGTTTTTAATCATAAGTATTTTCTTAATTGGATGATTTAGATCTCTTTAAATCTTCTAATTAATCTTCATCATATTATTCTTCAACTGGTTCTTACTGTTATTAAATTTATCTATATTTCGGATTTGATTTAGCTGGTATCTTATTCCTACTTCTATCTCTAGAAGTGTTCATTCTCATTGATCTATCTTGCCTAAAACTTTCCTCTACATTTTCAACTGTTTCTGGTTTGATAGTTTACTATGCTTTTTTTTCACCAAAACTAAATTTATTTGTAGGTTGAGTAGACACAGAAATTTATTATTAAGATTGAGATGAATATTCATTATTAGTGCTAGTATTAATATTTTACTTTTGCTTCTCTTTTTTAGGTCGTTCAGGCTATTACAACAATTGATTTAACAACTTTACTTAAGGATCATCACTTAGATCCCATTCATCCAATTAATCATCTAACATATTATTAATATGAGTTGGTCTATCTTCCATTCTAGTGACTCTTGGAGTAAATCTTGTTTATCTAGTATTTGGTGATAAAGATTTGTTATTTTATTAATTCTAATTCATTACAACTTCCATTTATTAAACATTCTCATATTATTTCATTATTGGAGCTTATTTATATTATTGTTCAATAACACTTATATCCCAATCAAGATTGCTATTTTCATCAGGTTTTAATGTTTTTGTAATAGGAGGTATTTCTAATTAAAGATTTTATACTAACAAATTATGAAGCTTTTATTCAAACTCCTGTTCATCTTCATTCATATCATTTTTTTGTTTCTAAGGTATATATGAATTATTATTTGTTGCAATAAAAAGATCATCATCTGATATTTATCTTTTTTATTACTTACTTTCAATCAATTATTTACTTGTATAACTACTATTACTTTGATTAATCAAATGTTATTGATATTCTTATCTTGCTCTTTATTCTAATTCCTTTAACTTTTAAGCTTATCTATCTTCTTCAGTTTCTTAACTTCTAACATTTCTAGAATTAGATCGATTTAATTATTTTTTCTATTCCTCAAATTCTCTTAATTTTCTATCTTATTCCTATTATTTTTATAATCTAAGTTGTTCTTCATATTGTTATTTTTATCTTTCTTATTATTTTAATTTTTCTTATTATTATTCTTCATATAATCTTCTCTTATCTTATTCCTCTTTTTCTTTTCTTAATCTTTCTCTCTATTCCTACTCCCATTTTTCTTATTCTCTCCTTTATCTTTCTTCTTATTCTCTTTTTGCTTATTCATCCCTTCTTCTCTATTCCTCCTACTCTTTGATTTTACGATCTCTATCCTCTTATTCTCTTCTCAATTATTCTTTTCTTAATTTATCCTATTCTTCTTTCTCCTTTCTCAATTTTTCTAACTCTTATTCTCTTTATTTTTATAACATTTCTTCTTATTCTCTTTATTTTCTTAATTTCTCTTATTCTCTTAAACGTTTTTACTCTTCTTCATATTCTCTAATCTTTCTTTAATTTTCTAATTCTTATTCTCTCATTTTTCTTGATCTTTCTAATTCTTCTTATTTTTATCTTTCTTCTCTTTATCTTTATTCATCTAATAATCTTTATTCTTCTCTCTTTTATAAATCAGCTAATTATTATTTTCTAAATTCTTCTTCTTTTCTTTTTCTTTCTTATTCTTATTGCATATATTTTGTAAAATCATCAGATTATTAAGAATGTTGATTAGTAATGTCTTGACTTTTAAACATTCCAGATTAGTTATTTGATTGTTAAGTATATTTATTTATTATCATTTGGGATTGAGCCATTTTATCATTTAAAATAGGTTTTCTACTATTTGGACTAACACCAGGTTTATTTGGAGAAACTCCTTAATAATTAGAATTCATCATAGATTAATTGGGTGATTGATCTCTGATCTAAGATTTTTGCATATCTTAACTTTACTACATTTAATAATTTATTCTATTAGATTATTCCATTTGTTTTGATGTCTCTATTGAATTGATACCTAATAATTCATTTTTTTATCTTTATTATTCTGGTGTTAATCTAGTAGGAGATTTGGAAGTTGATTCATATTAAGGTAATGGAACATTATTAGTATTATTATGAGTTGATTAAAAAAGTTAATCAAAAGATGGTTTCTTATTAGGAGTAGTAGATTATTATTATTATTATTATTATTATTATTATTATTATTATTATTATTATTAATAGGTTGAATTATTTAATGATGGTGAAGATGATGGTAATTATTAAGAATAACAATTTTGATTTTCTTATCTTTATTATATAGATGGCTATTTTTAAGGAATTTTTTAAGATTAATAATTATTAGATGGTTGTGTAAGATTACCAAAATCAATTGATATATCTTATATTGATTATACTGTTTCATTTACACCTTTTTCATATACAAATTCAGGTATATTTATTTATAATGCTCTTGCATTAACTTTTATCCATTTATGTGTGAAAATCTCTTCCATACTCAATCTATCTTATGGGTTTACTTTTAAAAGTGATTAAATTAAATCTTTGGCATCATTTGAAATTTTATCATTAAATGGTATTTTAGTAGTAGCTGCATTTAAAATAGCTTTAATAACAACTTCTTATGATGATCTATTTTTATTATAAGGTGCATGACCATGTAACATTTCAAATAAAAGAATACCCATAGCCCATATATCTATTCTATGATCATGATTCTAACTATTTAGCATTTCTGGACACATGTAATCTAATGTTCCACAAAAAGTTCTTCTTTCTGGTTAGAGTTCTGCAGACCATCCAAAATCACATATTTTAATATTGCCTTATGCATCTAATAAGATGTTTTCTGGTTTCAAGTCTCTATGTATAATTCCCTTCTTATGTAAATAATCTAAAGCTAATGCAGTTTGTAAGAAATAAACAAAGGCTTCTTGCTCTTCTAAAGTTTTGCGCTTTCTTAAATAAACAAACAAGTTCCCCATAGGAACGTATTCAAGCACGAGATAAACATTAGTATCATCTTCAAGAGAGTGATACAATTTTACAATATGAGGATGATCTAATTTTCTATGTAACTTTATTTCTCGTTTAATATTTTCAGCTTAAGCATTTTCTTTAAGTAATTTTTTGGGAATCTAGTTTAACTTATTTAATTACCGTTTTGATTGCTACCTTAGTATCAGTCACTTTATCAAGAGCTAAACGAACTCTTCCAAATGCTCCTTTTCCCAATTCTTCTTGAGCTTTGCCATTATCCTTTTTTTCAACAAATTCAAATTCATTTAATGTTCTCTTCTTTCTCATTTTTATATTTATTTTTTTAATGTATTATAGTAATCCTTAATTATAAATTAAGACAGCACTTGCTAATTCTCAAAAGGATAAAATTAGTCTAAATAAAAATAAAGGATAACATGATCATTTGAAATAGACAATTGTATATTTTAATGGACTTAAATCTATACAATATATTGGCAATAATGATATTCCTGAGATTGATGAAAATAACATTTTAGTTGCAGAATCAGAAATCCTTGTTGCAAATAGGAGAATTGAATTGAATTAAACCCCTAAAATTGAAGGAATGCTTCTTAAGAAAAGTCCATATTAAATCTAAGGATGGTAATAGAGATGGGCTTAATGTTCGGATAATCGCTTAGTATATTACCTGCCAGAAAATAGGAATACACCTTTTGGAATTATAGATTTTAATATTATGACATATTCCTTATAGGAAATAATAGATTAACACGGTAATATAATTGAATTTGTGTATTAATTTTTAATCTATTTAAAGATTAGTACCGAATGGATCTACAAAAAACTTTATATTTAAAGCATAAAATCCTTTGGATACATAGAAATGGCTAAATGCTGTAAAGGAAAGCTAGAAAAATTCTGAAGGGGCCAAAAAGATACTCAATAGTTTGAATAGATATCCTAAGTTTTGGAAAGTATTTCTTATATATAAATTTAGACAGATAGAATATCTAATGAATAATTAATGAAAATAGGAGAGAGTGGTGACATACTCCTTTTTAGAGGAATTGGAATTAATTGTGAAATTTAACGAAAACTTACTGGTTCTGATTATGATCATGCAGCAGTTTTATTAAGACAACCATCAGGGTCCTTATATATGCTAGAAGCAACTGGATATTTTGGAGTAGGATTATGTTCTTGGAGTATTTAGATTATTAATTATTATAGAGGATCTGATTAATAATAGATGGTTTTAGTTATATGAAAAGATAATAGTAAGAAGATTAGAAATTGATAGAGATTTTTAATTTTTAAGAAATTTTTAAGAATTTGTGAATGAGAATATGGGTTAAAAATATTAACTTACTCCTATCAAATAGGTTAGAATAGCATCTACTAATTAAGAAATAAATAATTAAATAAATAGAGTAATTTTAATATCTATATAAAAGGAAGAAAGAACAATATTTTGTTCTGCAATGATTGCTGCTCTTTATAAAAAGTTAGGAATCTTAGATTAGAAAAAATCTACAGCATTATATTGGCCTGGAAGTTTCTAATCTAAGAATAGAGAACTTCAAATGTTAAAAGGGAGTTTGTATCCTGAATAATTGATTGATTTTAGTGATATATGATTTTTTTAATAGTATTATTCTTATATTATTTATATTAAAAATCAATTAATGAAGTAATTTTTTTTGATTGTTGCTTGCAATCTAAATTTTTTTTCTGGAGTAGAAGACAGTAGTTAATTAATTTTATGCTTAAAATTATTCTTTAAAAGATTCAGTTGCTATTATTATTTAATACCAGGAGATTTACTAGCAGGTTTTTTTTCTACAAATGTTTCATATGCTTATTCAATAATCTATTTATTTTTTTAAGCCTTATTCATATCTCTATGTGACATATTTTTACATAACTAATGTTTATGACTATTCATATCAATTGTATTATCAGTCTTATTTCTTAATTAACTACATGACTATTAATGTGATTAAATAGTGCTTAGTTTTAAAGTATGATTGCTTTAATGTTATTATAAGGCACAATTAGGCTTAAAAGAATATTCTCTTAATGTATTTCTATTTTAATCACAAAAAGGACGAATTTCTGTTAATAAATCCTCATCTTTTTCTATTTAATTCTCTTAATTGTTAAATTCAGAAACTCTTTCAATAGTCTTAGCTTATTATTTTCTCTTTAGATAAGATTAAAACTCAGAAGATGTTTTATTTAACTATTAAGGTTTAACTGGAACTTCATAGATTGGTATTTCAATTGAATCAGATGTTATATTTCTTGTATGAGTAGTTTCCTTAATTTCTTCCTTTTTTTTTAAATTCATCTACTTAAATAACTAATTGATAATATCAATTTTATTATTAATAGTTTCATCTTCATTTTACTTGATGTTTTGATAATTTTATTAACAGCTAATCATAATAATTAATATATAAATTATTATTACTTACAAATGTAATTGCTATTTTTATTATGAGTATAAAATTGATGTATTTTAATAATTAATTAAATGAGTTTGCAATCATTCTAAGATACATTTTGTGGCGCTGTAGCTGGTTTTTCATTTCGTTTTTTTGGACATCCATTTGACACTGTAAAAGTGAGAATGCAAATGGATAATTAAAAGAGATCTTTTATTACATCTGCTATTAAGATTTTACGTAAGGAAGGAGTAATAATATTTATATATATTTATATAGATCTTTGCTTATTACAAAGGGATGCTATCTCCTTTGTTAGCAGATATTCCATCTAATGCTGTATTATTTGGAATATATGAATATGTTTTTAGATAAATTTGTTCAAACAGCTAAGAAAAGAAACCATATTTTTTAGAATGTTAACTAATAAAATATAATTGATAGGGTTTATTGCAGGAGGAGTAGCTGGTATAGGATATGCAATAGTAGTATGTCCGGCTGAAATGACAAAATGCGTATTGCAAATGTAAAAGGAATATTTACACAAGCAATTTAAGTCTCCATTTCAATGTTTTGCATATGCTATTAAAAATTATGGCATAGGCTCAGTTTTCAAGGGTCTCGTTGCTACAATATTGAGAGATATACCATAAAATGCAAGTATTATTGATTAATAATAATAATTAGCTTTCTTTGCAACTTACGAATACTCTAAATATGTATTTAGTAAAAATGGTGATTTACCATTTTATGGAGCATTAATAAGTGGAGCATTAGGAGGATTCACATGTTGTTTAGCATCATATCCAATGGATGTAGTAAAAACTTAATTGTAAGTTGAAATAAAAGAAACTACACAAAATAGAAAATTTAAGCCAAGATTTTATGATGGAGGTGTTATAGAATGTGTAAAATATATTTGGTAAACTTAAGGTTACAAAGGTATTATAATAATATAAATAATAGGATTTTGGAGTGGAGTTGAAAGTTGTATTATTTATTATATGGTTGGATGTGCAGCATAATTTACAGGTTATTATTATGCATAATCACTATTAACAAATTATTCAAACAAACATTGAAATTCTTAATTTTATGAAAATGAAATTATTCTTATTAATAATATAATAATAATTTATCTTAAAAATTTAATAAACATGAATTGTTAATTATTAAAGGACCATAAAGAGAGAGTCTGGTAAATAGCTTGGCATCCTAATGGATAAATATTGGCTTCTTGTAGTTCAGATAAAACAATAAAACTATGGCAATTAATGAATGATCAATATAAATTAATTGTAAATATGTCCATTAATCATTCATCTTAGTAAACTCTTGATGATTGTCATACAAAATCAGTAAGATCAGTAAGCTTTTCTAAAGATGGTCAATTTCTAGCATCTGGTGGTTTTGATGCTGTAGTTGGAGTTTGGATGTTTGATGGATCAAAATACAAATTAATTTAATAACTTGAAGGACATGAGTCTGAAGTAATATGGTTCTATATAAATTTAGGTAAAAGGAGTTGCATGGAGTGTAGATTCTAATTATTTAGCTTCTTGTGGAAGAGATAAAACAGTCTGGATTTGGGATCATGATGATCTTGAATTCAGTTGTAATTGTGTTCTATAAGCACATGATGAAGATGTAAAATGTATTAAATGGAAAGATACTACTCTCTATTCTGGCAGTTATGATAATAGTTTAATTCGATATACTTATGGAGAAGATGATGAATGGGATCATAAATAATTCTAAATTGAACATTAATCAACTATTTGGTCTATTGATATATTCAATAAGTTATTGCTTACAACAAGTGCTGATTGCACTGCTAAATTATTCTCAATTCAAGATGGAACTATAAAACCTATACAAACCTTATAAGGATTTCATAAGGAACCCATTTATTCAGGATCCTTCTCATATGATGGATTATATTTTGCATTGGGAAGTGCCGATAACAAAATTAGTATATATAAAAAGGATGCCATAGATGAATTAGGATATCCTCATTTTGCTTTAGATTAGATCTTCGTAATTTATTTTTTATATAGTAGGATGCCTTTGAATTTGATGTTAATTGTGTTGCATTCAATCCTAAAAATTATCTTTTAGCTGCATGCAGTGATGATCAAAATATTAAAGTGTTCGATTTATAATTGTGATCATAAAATTTAACCCATAAAATTATTATTCCCAATTTAATAACATTATAACTAAATTTATCAGATAACCATAAGGGATGATAGTATCAATTATGATACGAGCAATCCTTATACAGGACGTAGTACAAATCTCGTTTATGTTAATGTGCCATCCCAAAGCAATGAGCTTTTATGGGTTGAGACAGTCTTCATCGGCTTTGACTCCTCATTTCAGCTCAATCTCTAAATTCCTACTCCCAGGGTATTATGGCATGTTATTCACATGTTGTTACCTCAGGACAAACCTTAGGGAATACATTTTTTTTTTTTACTTTAATATTTATTTTGTAAATGTACTTTTAAAGAATTCAGATACAAATATGTCTATTTTTAATCTTGAATATAAAGATCATTCTAGAAAATATTTCAGGGGAACTCTCATAAATTATATTAATATAGAAGTATTTTAAATATTGATCATTTTATTTGAATGCCTTATCCTTATTAATCTAAATTTTTTTATTATATGTAAAGCTTCATCTACTAGATATGTTATTTTCTATAGTAATACTCATATATAATTTACTTAATTTCATTAGGTAAACCTTCAATAATCCAAGGATGCATTAAAGCTTCAGCTGCTTTCATTCTCATATTTGGATCCCATTACAAACATTTGTTAATGAACTTATATCATAAACTTATGAAATACATCATAAAAGATAGGAGATCCTGTTTAAAGAAGCTCTTTCAAAGGTTTAAGTGGAAATATTAAATCAGTTTCTTTAATCTTGGTCAGAAGTTCATAATTAGCATTGAAAAATTTATGTTTCTTAGGACAATAATCTAAAAATTAATTAGATGGTTTCCCAAGAATTGAAACTTATAGAAATAACAATTCTTTTTCAGATTTCGATTAAAATAATGAGTTCCCAAGAAATAGTTCAGCCACTATACATCCAAAACTCCACATATCAATTTATGTTGTATAAGGAATACCAAGTAATATTTCAGGGGCTCTATAAAATCTACTCTAAATAGTATATTTTATATGATATACTTAAATATAAGTGTATAATTTAGAGTTAATAAAACAACTAGATCCAAAGTCAATTATTTTGATACCAGATCTTGAGATATCCTTTAATAGTATGTTTTCAGGTTTAAGATCACAATGAATAATATTGCATTCAGATAAGTACAAAAGTGCTTACAATATTTGAATAGCAAATCTTCTGACTAAATCAAGTTCAAATCCTTAGAAATCATTGATTGCCAAGAATTCATAAAGATTGCAACTCAATAATTCAAAAACCATACACTCTAATAATGATGACTATCATACTACGTGATTTCGAAAAACAAAATAATTAAGCATTTTAATAAGGCAACAACTATTATCAGCTTTATTGACTACTTTCAGGATTTCAATTTCAATAAATGCTTATTTTTGAAATTTTTCTTTATTTTTTATAATTTTTAAAGCAACATTTTATTAATGTTTATGATCCAATACTTTAAACACATATCCAAAACTGCCATGACCTAATTATTCTAACATTTCATAACGATAAATGATATGATCATGTTATCTAAACATATAATCACCTCTATTGATATAAATAATATTAATACTTTTCTGTATCAAATCCATTATTGTATTCAGAATCTTAAGGTAGTGTTACATTTTCAGGTCTCAAATAATAGATTATTTCAATATCTTTAATTTCATTCTTTTCAAATTCAGACAATTAAGATTAATAATGTTCTAAAACAATAGGAGGTGTTTATGGTAATTATGGTTTAGGTTATTTGGTAAATTTGTACTCAATATCTTCTTAAAATGTATTTGGATTTTTTATTGTAAAATTATTATTGAACTTATAATATCTCTATTAAATATTCCCTCTTAATTTTTGTTTTAAGGTTGAAATTCTCTATCTAACTGAATCAGACGTAATTTAAGGTATTTATTCAATTTTTTCTTACATATGTCCAGACAATTTATGTGATATACGATTTTTGAATGTCTCCTATATAATGGGATGCTTTGTATCTGGACTAGTTTTTAAACTCTTTTTAGGTGAATTATGTTATGTGAATAATTAAATGATAGGTTATGGATTTTAGAATTAAGTGCTGAAACCTTATAATTTATTCAAATTAATTACGAACACTATCAAGGGAGACCTTTTCTTATGCTAAAATATTCTTTAATTGATTTGTATGTAATCTACGACTATTACGTCTACTAGTAGGATTAGTTTCATCCTTTGACAAAAGAGATACTAAATAAAATCAATGTTACTACAAGCATTAGCAAGACTTATAGGTTTAGAATTGGGTGGAGACTTAATGCTTGGTTACGTATTTTAAATTGATGTATGTTGAGTATGTTGAGTGTGTTGAGTGTGTTATTTATTTGGAAAATACTCCTTGATTGGATGTCGAATATGAGTACGATTAAAGGTAGCTTACATGGGAGTTTTAGGATTAAAACTATTATATTTACGAGATTCTGATTCGTTTGTAGTTTTCTAATAAAGTCAATAAAATATATTTACAATAGTCAGATCGCTCGATTTTTTCATTATAAATATGAGTTCTTTTAATTTTTTAGAAATAAAAATTTATTTAACAAATAAAATACTAATGTACGATAGCATAACAACTGAATAAAGACCAACTCTCTATAGAAATTCTGATTAGAAACAATAATATTAAATGCCTATAACTAATGATTCACATTTACATCATTTAACACCAATGACAGGCATGAAGACTTATGAATCACCATCTAAACCATATACTTCACCTGAACAATAAACAATGGCATATACAACTTCTCCAAATAATGTGAATTCATTTGTTTCTCCCATAAGACCATAAATCTTATAGCCATAATTGATTTCACCATAAAAGCCAATACCTTCATACATTAATCAATCACCATATATTAGACCATAAATCACTTCAATACAACCAATTCAATTACCACTTAAACCTACAATAGAAGAGATACATATTAGTGAACATCCAGTCTAAGTGATTAAAAGAGAAGAATTAGATAGATCATATTAAGAATAGATTCAAAAATTAGAAAATTAATTGAATAGTTTATAAATGGAAAATATTAAACTAAGAAGTGTTCAAGCAACTGAAAAAATATCAATTGGTGAAGATGTCACAAGAATAAATTAATTAAAGGATGAGATACAAAGATATATGAAAATTGCTTTTGAATTATAATAAGAAATTGACATTTGGAAAAAGAGATATGCTGATTTTGAAGCTGAAGTTAGATTTTAATATGGAGTAGAATAAGAATTATCTAATACTAAAAGAGGTAATTTATATATATATATATTAATTTTAGATTTATAAGAGACTAATATTATATTGAATCATGAAATTAAAATGTAAAAAGATTTAGTATTAGAATGGTAAAAGAAATATAAAGATCTTGAATTTAAGATATTTGGATTTAATGAAGAAAGTAGTGTGATACAAAAAACTAAGGAATAATAAATTAGAGAATTATAGAGTAAATTAGCTTTGATGACTACAGAAGTTGAAAGAGTTAATGTTTTAAATGAATAGAAAAATAATGAGATGGAAAGATGGAAAGGTAGATTTTAAGATATTGAAACTGAATCATTAGAGAAAGATAGTAGATTAACTTAATTAAATACAGAAATGAGTAGATTAAGATAAGTTATTGATAATTTAAATAGAGAAAATGGATTACTTAAAACTAAAATTATTAATCCTACTGAATTTTAGAATAAAATAAATTTATAATCTTAATAAATTGAATAATTGTAACTCAAACTAAAATAAAGTAATTAAGATTATGAAAATTTATATTAAGAACATAATCAATTATAATTATAAGTTTAATTAAATTAAGATAATAAAGCATAATCATATAAAGATTAGATTGCTAAATTAGAATTGGAATTAAGAAAAGTTTAAAGAACATTTTTAGAAAAGGATCAGTAAATTAAAGAGTTAAATGAAAAAAATGAAGAAATGGAAACTTTATTATAAAATTAATAGTCATCCCAATAAAAAACGGAGACTTATGTAACACATTATGTTAATGTATATATAATTAAATATTTAAAAATAGGAAGCAAATCAATGGAAAAAGAAGTTTGAAGAATAAAATAAGAAATATTTTGAAGTCTAAGAAAAATTGGCATTAGCAGAAGCAGAGTTGTAATCCATAAAGAAAAGATAATAAACTTAACCAACAGTTACCCAAACTGTATATGAAGTCAAAAATACTTCAACAGTTAGGACAAATAATAACATGAATTAGACTGCTAGAATTCCTTGAATTTGATTTTCTTAAATATTATATTATATTTTTAATGTTTTGGCAAATTCAGGCGATTTGTCCGGTAATATTGTATATAAATCCTAATTTAATTTACGTATTTGAGATTATTAAGTTTTTTTAGAAAAAACATTTCTCTTTAAATTAGAAAATGAATCCATATTACTCTTATTATCCCAATTCCTAATAAAATAGTAATTATCAATTAAACTATTATAGACTATTGGCAATATTATCAATATAATTAACTTTCCCATTGGTATTAGATGAACAACCAGTAGTAATAAATTATGTCCTACCAAGTAGGATGTTAAAGCATGCCATAACAAGATTAAAGCAATATTTAGTCTAATAATCTACATCAGATGAATGATCTCTAAAATTATGTTGATATATAAGGTTTAGAGAGGATGAAGACTTAAAATAATATTGAACAAACTAATTTAAAAAATGATCAAGATTCAAAGAAAAAAGTAAAAAAATAAAGAGGTATAATGTTTAATCCTATATTTAGGTCATTGGACAAATGAGGAACATTATAAGTTCTTACAATTTGTTAGACTTCACAGCGATCTCTTCAAAACAAGTGTTCATAAGAAATTAAATCGTGTATTTAAAATGATGGCTGAAGAAATTTAAACAAGAAATGCTTGTTAATGCAGATCTCATTTCTCAAAATTTAATCCATTTATTGAAACAGTAAGGTTATATAATATACTTCTAGAACATTTTAAGAAGAAAATTGTGTAATGATGAATAAGTATATGAAAAAATGTTTGAAAATAAAAACAAACTTGATGTGTAATGATATGTTCAAAAAAATCATAATTTATAGAAATATATATTAAATTATATAAATTAATAAATATATATATATAAAAACAACATATGTCATAACTTCTCTCCAAGATGGTATCATTTGCTGTTCCTATCGTAGTTTCGAAACACAAGTCAAAGTGAATTCAAAGTGCCAAGTATTATTTCATGATAATTTCATGAGCAAAGTAAAGCACTGCCTGATGATTTCGCCTCGTAGATATTAAATAATGACATCGTTTTAGTGCTCAGTAATTATTCCAATAATGAAGCCCTTAAAAATCTGATCTAATTGTATATGGTAAAAATCTAATTTAAAAAGAATAGTAAGGGGTAGAGTATTACAAAGAATGCGAAGATAGAGCGCATGAATACTTTGAAATAAAGTTAAAAAACATATTTACAAACCCATCGGTTTTATAGCCTACAGAATAAGCTAAACAAAGTACACCTCCAGAAAAGAAGAAAATCGAAGTGCCAAAAATAAATGTTGTGTAAGCTTCATATTCATTTATGAATAAACCTAAGACATCCAAAAAGCCAGATAACAATATACTTTCTTTTAGTTTTTAAGAACCTGTTGTTGATAAATTTTTTTAATGTGGATCTACAATAAACAAGAATTCAAATAGTTAAAGCTTTTGCAAGATAATAAAAAATACAGAGAGTAGTCACAGTGGAGAAGAGGAGGAGGAAGAAATTATTCATTAAAAAAATATAATAGAATAAGAGAAAGAAGAGAAAATTAAAGAGATTCAAAATTAAGTTATTGAAGAATAAATAATAATTTAAACAGAAGGTAGAGCAAAGGAAATAGCTAGTTAATTTAAAAAATAAGAAAGACGAATATCATAGGTAATTAAAAATTAAATGACTATAAAATAGTAAATAGAAGCAGGAATGAATGCATAAGAGTCTAGTATTTAAAAGAGGAAAGAGATGAGAAAATTACGTTCTTAATTTTCATTGCACAATATAAATAAAACTCAATCAACTCCAACAATAAAGCAATTTAATTAACATAAAACTCCATAAGATGATCCTAATTGTATACCTGAAGAAACAAATGAAATAGGTAGTGGCAAGTTGTCTTCAAATAAGAAGCATATAGAAGTTAATTAATTTTAATTTAATGATGAGTGTAAATGAACCCTAACTATTTATATTAAATTTGAATTTGAATTATCGTTGTTAAAATATATTAAAAACAAATGAATTAGCAGCAAGTATCACATCAAACTAAGACATCTTAAACTTAATAATTTATAGCTTCCTAACTTTCCAAATTGCCTGATAAAACAAAGCTTTAGCAACTCATTCCTGTATAATTACATGTTAATTGTTTCGAGAGAAAACATAATGAAGGAATCGATAACAGATAATCACCACCATAATAATAAAATTATTGCACCAAACCATCATAAAAACCTTAATAGTCTAATCATAAATCTAATATGTCACTTTAAAATAAAAGCAATTCACATATTGAGTCTATTTAAGAAAAATTATAAGCTATAAATCATCCAAATAAAAAAAGAGATTACTCTCCAAACTCTGATGCTATAAGATAATTACTTAAAAATACTAAATAAGATTCAGATATTAATCATTTATTATCTAAAAGACAATAATCTTAAGATTAACAAATTATTTTAACTCCAATTACTACTAAGCATTCTTTAAAATCTCACTCTCCATTAGATACTAAAGAGAGTGTAGCTTAATTACTTTCAAATCATTTTAGTACACTATATGTATAATCATTAGAAACAGATGTATCGTCCCCTAAAGGAAATGGAAGCAATTAAAAGTAAAAAAATAGCCATTTCGGTCCTTATTTATCTATCCAATAGTAGATTCAATAGTAAAAGCTTAAAGGACATAGTTCTACAAATTCACTGTCATATGGATCTAGAAATCATCATCAACAATCTCTACAAGATTCAAAGAGATCTGAGACTGCAGCAATAACACCTACTCCGAAAAGATTTACAACAACTTCATAAAATACAGAGCATAGTAAAAGTAAATCTGTTGTTGAAGAATAATTGTAATGTATGAAAATAATGTAATTTGATAAAGAAAATCAATCCCATATCCTTAATTTAGGATCGCCAAGTGCTTTTAGTAATTCTGAGCAAGCATCAAGTGTACTATCTATTATTAAATGATAGATTGGAGATAGTATTGGAATGCATTTACAATTTGGAGTTAAAACTCTATCTCCATTTACAAAGCCTGCTTAATAAACTTAGAGATTTTGTATATATCATAAAGAGAAGAAGGCAAAATATGTGACAGAAGAGGGCAATGATTATCTATTCTTTTGTTCTAAATGTGCTGTAAAATTAGCAGGTAAAGGAATGTTTTTTACTGAAATTGCATAATTAAAACAATCTACAATTGATTCTTAAACCTTTTCATTTTAATAAAGTTCCTTAGATTCAACACAAAGATAATCATCTTCAGTAGATATTTAATTTAAAGAAAGAGAAATGAAGGTTTTCCTAGCATTATTATATTAAATTTAAAACAATAGATAAGACTTACTTAATTAATTATCAAATTAAGGTAATAAGCTTTAAAATTATTATGATAAATAAATGAAATTATGTTCAGAAGCAAAATAATAATTGACAATATTTTTAGAAGAGATATATTAGAGAAGTATGAATTAATTATCAAATTCAAAATAATAAACATTATCTTTCATTACTAAACTAATATAATAATTGTCTGCAAATCAACTTGATAATCAAAAGATTCAAACAGAAATTGAATAGAATTGGAAAAGAGTTTTGGAGAATATGGATATGACAATTTTTAGAGAGGTAATGAATCAACATCATTCTAAATTTTCTAAGTTTGGTGAATTTTAATAAGAGATTTAGAATCAATATATTTAACTCTATTCTATGGGTTCTATGGATATCTAAGCCACCATGTCTTTGATTGCATAGAAGTATTGTATTCAAGTATACATAGTTTTGAGGTTGTTGAATCTGCAATGCCTCTAATTTCAAATATTTAATAAATAAATATAACTTAACCCATTAGAACTTAACCTACTCCTCCTAAAAAGAGTGAAGAATCAATTAGTTAAAGAATTAAAACTGATTTTAGTAATTAAAAGAAAAATTCAGATACTAAATCATAAAATTTTTGTTAATATTTTAATGAGAAAACAGATATTAATCAAAATTTAAGGGAGAAAAACTAAAAATTGATTCCTTAATTTTAATCTTAAAATAATAATCTTTATGTTTCATTTGAAAATAAAGAAATATTTATGAATGCTTTAGAAATGGAAAAAAATAAGTAAATTATTAGTTCCGAAGATGATAAAGCATCCAAATAATAAGCTATTATGATTTTATAATCATATAAAGGATCTCATGCAGATATTATGGAAGAATCACTTAATATGTCTCATGATTCTTAAAAATCTGCTGCTCATAGTCCTGCTTCTGGGTAAACAAAAGAATCTGTTTAAAGAATCAATCCAAATTAAGAATAAGAATTTATTGCTCTTTCTAATAATTAAAATGAGACTGTTCCAAAAGAAGCATTTCAAAAATAGAAAAGTACTTTTAGAACACTTTTTGAAAACGAGGATTCTTAAGAACCTAATATATAAATAAAGAAGGAAATGACTGCAATTTCTCCAGGTAGAAGTGAGAAATTTAAATCATTCCTTAATAGAATTTCTAATAGCCAATCTAATACTTAATAGTATATTTATTATATCTATTTATATTAACAAATTTTAGGTATTATCAATAGATACTGCAGGGTCATTAAAAAGTAGCAACCGAAACACCAGATGGAAAGAAATAAGATTCATAAAGTTTAAATAAAATAAATATTGAAGTTCCTGATACATGTGTTAGAGAGGATATTATGAATTTATAAGATACAGAGGATATAAAAGATTCAGTTCATTAAATAAATATGTGTGATGATTAATAACATCTTAGTGATTATGATGATGAAAAAGAAATACAAGATACTAAATTGAGATATGTATATTAGGGAGATGAAAGAAAAGAATAATATTAAAAGACTTTGTTTTCATCACCCATGTTTAAAGATCATTGAAAAATTGTTAGTTATAATAATTAATAGTTAATTTAATTGTTTTTATACAATATATTTATATATATATATATAGATTTAATTTAAATAATTGATAAAATCAATTCATCTTTTTGATCATTTCCTAAATTATTGAAAGATCTCTAAGTAATTCTTATTTACTTAGTGTCTATTTTTCATTTTAATGATCAATTTTAAATTGAGAATATCTCATAGTTAAAATACTTTCTCTTTTTCTATCCTCAAACATAGTTTCAGCAATTAAATCTTACTCCTATTATTACAATTAATTTAATTTAGATTCATCTTCTAATGAATCTGATCTCAATGAATTTCTAAATTAAAAGTATTATCCTGAAACAGATTATTAATTTTATGTTCCACTCAATAATGAAATATTGATTGGATCTATTTGTGTTTTTCTTAATTCTTTTATGTTTACATAAGATTATTAATCAATTAATGATTCAAATGGTAATTAGATTGGATAGACAGCTTTAAAATCTCCCATATTTTATATATGTACATTCTCTATTCTAAATATATTCCAAACTGTTCTTCTACATAATTCTAAAATAGCCATAATTAAAGAGAATAAAGGTGACCAAATATGAATAATTGATGCCATATTAGGTGATATAGAAAGAATCCAAGCAAAACGAAGAAAGAATTCAAAAACAATTGCAATATAATAAAATATAGGTTTAAATGCTAATTAATTTCTAAGATGTTTATGATTTGAATTTATTTAAAATAAACCCCAATCCTTCTTAACATCCCAAAAATATGCATGACAAGCAAGTGTACAAAAAGAGATTATCCATACTATAAAATAAGAGTTTCCAAATTATGATAAATATGAAAACACATTTACCATTGTAACTTCTACATATATTAAAACTACAAAAATATCATCTTTAGTAATTTTCCCTGCATCATAAAAACATCTACCTAATTAAACAAATCTTAAGAATATAGGAATCAAACAGACTATTAAACCAATCTATAAATTTTTAGGATCACCACAAGTAGCTTAAGATTAATAATCACTTATATTCTGGAAGTATTTAATATAAAAACATACTGTATAACCAAAATCTTTAAGCATCAATACTAATGATAATAATTAATCTGTTGACCAACCATTAACAAATGGACAATCAAAAAACCCTGCCAATATACTTGTATAAACAATCTTCCAAAAATATTTTCTTCCTTTTGCATTCAAGTATTTTTTAGATGGCCAAATCATATAGAGCATCATAATTATCCATAATACCAATGGACCTATTGCAGGATCATAAGCTATTTTATCTGTTATGTAATCTAAGAGATATTACTTTTTATCATTTTCTTCTTCAAGATAAAGTTCCTTTTATAAACTTATAATTAACACTGTAAAATATAATAATGTTATTAATGCAGCTCTTTTGATTAATTAATTAATTGAAGAACTATGATATTAAAAATTAAATATTGATCTATATCCAACATTCCCTTTAATCCAACAATATACACAAAATATTAATGACCAATAATATAAAATCATTAATCCAATCCCTCTAAACATTGGAAAATATAAATCATAATAAAATTGACTATTTATATTTTAATTTCATACTTCTTATAAAAATTATTATTTAATTAGTTTCTCTTTGATATTATGTATATAAATAAACAAAAAGTACCACCCAAATACAATCCTATTAATAATTATTCTTTTCTTGTAAATCCTTTATAAATATTATGATATTTTAGTTTCCGAATATTCTTATTCTACTATTTTGAAGAAAGACAACGAGAATATAGCAACTTTAATTTTACTTGTATCTTTTAAATATCCTGACGATTATTAAATATTTATAATTCATTATAAACACTCTACATTTTTTATAAATTGTAATAAGGATCTTAGATAAATACTTATTTTTTGTACTTTTTTAGAACCTTTTTAATAACAATTTCATTAAATTATGCAAATTATTCTAATAGATTGCATTCTAAATATAACATCTCTGAATATTATTTGAGTATATACAATTTTGATTTAATATTTTCT